TTATTATTATTTTTATTATTATTATTTTTATTATTATTATTTTTATTATTATTATTTTTATTATTATTATTTTTATTATTATTATTTTTATTGTTATTTTGGTAATTTTAAATTTTAAATTTTATTTATTTAGAAAATGAAAAGCTGAAAGAATGACTTTATGAGAACTTATCAAAAGAAGTTTCAAAAAGACAAGCAATTGCTAATTTAAGAGGTGTATTAAAAGATTAGCAATATCACAGCAATGAGGTATCCAAAACTGATACCTAAAAAGCTAATAAAAAGTGTCTAGCTGGCAACCATATAGTAATGATTACAAAGATCAAGTTATTAAAGTCTTAGATAAAAGCTGGCACTCCTAGCAAATAAAATCTAGATATATAATTAATAATTATCAGGCAGTACTGCCTGATACGAAATTGTCTGGCAGCTTACTATAATTTTCTGCATAATAATAAAATTATTGAGCAGATAAATCATATTAAGCTGCAAGATAACTATCAGTTAATAATAATAATAATATTATTATTATGTATTATTATTATTATTATTATTTTGGCATGTCCTGCTACTATTTTTATTAAAATAATAACTAGGCAAAAATTACAAAAATTTTTAACTATGTTATTCTTTCTTTAACTGCAATAAGTAACTTATTCGACTTAAAAGCCCAGATGCAATATTGCTTAGTGGCTGTTTGCCTTCCTCCGAGTTTCTAATTTTTTAAAGGCATGTATCCTTGATCATTGGCTAGTATTACATGCTATATCAGTATCATCTATTCTGCAAAATACAGATACAAAACAAAGGATAGAGAAAAAAAGAGGGTAATACCTCAGTGTCCAAGTTTAATCCACCTAAACAAACAAACAAAACCAAAAAACAAATAAAAGAAAACAAAATAAAAGAAAACAAAACAAAAATAGCACTATTAAACCTGTATCAGATTGTAAAAATTATATAAACTACTAAATAATCTAGTCTAAACTCTATGCTAATTATTTATTGTCTATATTGAGATATATAAAATATCTACTCTTGAGTAGAGGTCAAGTTCGAAATTTCTCTTGCAGTTTCACTGAGTTTAGTGTGATATCCTGTAACAGAATATCATGCTAAAGCTTGTCATTGAGCAAAGTTAAGTGATTCTATTATGAATTTCAGTGTAAAAACTCTAACCTTTTGAAGTAACCGATTATTTATTATTAATCTTAAAGTAGACACATATTCCTGTATATAACTTTTTTTTTTCAGTAGTAATTGTTATTGTTAATCCTTTGATAGACGTATGCTGCCTTTTCTATTTTTTGTTGAAATTTCATAAAGAATAAAGAGTAGAGCTTTGGTAAAGGGTTTCAGTTTGCAGGTATTTTTAAACTTCGGTAGAAAGTATATTAAAAACTCGCTTGTTGTTCTCTTTAGACTATGTATCTTTAACTTCGTCAACAATGCTGAGCTTTTATTAAAATTTTCTGTACAAAAGCACATCCTTCTCACCAGTTATCTTGTACAAGAATACTTTTAATTTGTATATTAAATATACAAAGGAGTCCGAAAGAATAAAAACAAAAACCTTGACCTATTATTTGTAGTTGTCTATTCTACTTTTTTCTAACAAGTTTCTGTTTTTGTTAGCTGTAAGCTTAGTACAAGTAATTGTTAGAGTGAGTTGATTTTAACTATTAATTATTATTATTATTATTATTATTATTATTTTTTTTTAATAATAATAATTTTTTTTCAATTTACATCTAGTTGAAAGATATTTTGTGGTTGACCGAAGAATTTTCATTTATAAAAAAAATGCACAAGATATTGCTAGAGAAATGCTCTGGGTTTAATAGATAGAACTTCATCACCTCCTAATACATTAGCTTGGTTTATATCTTAATTTACTGATACTGATACTAATACAAACAGCATCAATAACAATAACAATAAATCTGATGATTCTGCTGACCCTCAATAAAAATAATTTTGTTAATTTGGATGAAAAATACAAACCTATTGCTAGGCCCAGTAACTTTTTAAATAAGGCATATTATATGTGATCTCAAACAAAAAGAGTTCTAATTAGAACTAGTTTTTTTACAAGTATAGCATTGTTTCTCATCTTCCTGATAGTTATTTGGATCTTCTTTAGTATAGGTGGACAATAAAAATTATTACAAGATTATAATATATAAAACTTAACAAATTTAAGCCAATTTAAATCCTAACCTTAAACCTGACCCTAATAATTTATAAAATTACTTAAATTAATTCAAAATAATTAAGTTATATATGTTATAATTGTATAATAATTATATATGCCCACCTATACTAAAGATCAACCATATAGGATTATTAGTAAATTATCACTTTGTGTAATGTTAGATAAATAGCCTATTAATGCAATGACTATCAGGAAATTAAATATAATTAGAGATGACAACGGCTGGCTATTTTTAGCTTAGCCAACTAGCTAAGCCAAAAATAGCTAGCCATTGTCATCTTTAGATATAATCTAGCTAAAAATCATATTAAAATATTAAATTTAAATTTGACAAAAAGCACTTGTTCAACCAACAATCTTTATAACATTTAATAAAATTATTAAAAAAACTAATAAAGAAAAGCAAAAGAAAATTAGTGAATAAGGAACAGAAATTAATAAAGAAAAACAAAAGAAGTTGATAAAGAAGAAGCAAAAATTAATAAAGGAAAGCAAAAAGAAGTTGGTGAAGAAGGAGCGGAAATTGATAATGAAATGCAAAAAGAAGTTAGTAAAGAAGAAACAGAAATTGATAAAAGAAAGCAGAAGGAAATTGTTAGAGTGTATTAGTTAATTTTTAAGAAAAATCATATTTACTAGTATCTATTATAAAATAGTAATAGATACCAGTTATATAAAGTAATTTTATTTAGTGTTTGTATACTTTTTTTGGTTTAGAACTCTATAAGAATCTTTCTTTAATATCGGAAGAAGAAACTTCTAGAATTCTTAGTTGTCAAGAGTCCAATATCAGTACATCTGATATTAACAATCAAGATCCTAATATTGATGATAATAAAATTATAGAGATTCTTGCAAATACTGAAATCTTCTTACAACATTTATTAGAACTAGAAAAACTAGAAGAACTAGAAGATCAGAAAAAGGAAGGTGAAAACAACTAAAAGTAAAAAAAAAACAAAAAAAAAACAAAAAAAAAGCAAAAAAAAAAAAAACAAAAAAAAAAAAAAAAAAAAAAAAAAAAAAAAAAAAAAAAAAAAAAAAAAAAAAAAAAAAAA